TGTCCACTTCACAAACACTGACACAGTCTGACTGAGAGCTGCTCCACTGCGAGGGACACGGTCGAATGCCTTCTCCAGATCCACGAAACACATGTGGACTGGTTGGGCAAACTCCCATGAACCCTCCGCCACCCTGAAGAGGGTATAGAGCTGGTCCAGTGTTCCACGGCCAGGACGAAAACCGCATTGTTCCTCCTGAATCCAAGGTTCAACTATCGGTCGAATTCTCCTCTCCAGTACCCTGGCATAGACTTTCCAGGGGAGGCTGAGGAGTGTGATCCCCCTGTAGTTGGAACACACCCTCTGGTCCCCCTTCTTAAAAAGAGGGACCACCACCCCGGTCTGCCAGTCCAGAGGCACTGTCCCCGACTGCCATGCAACGTTGCAGAGGCATGTCAACCAAGACAGCCCAACAACATCCAGAGACTTAAGGTACTCAGAGACTGAGTACCTTAAGTCTCTGGGTCCATATGTGATTATCCTAATTACTATTTATTAAGGGATATGATAAATCTGTGTATTAAAGAGAGAACAGATATAGTAGCAATGTGACAAGTCTATGATTTGAAGGACAAATGGGGTGACTGAGGATCTCACAATTCTTCCAATGAGCCCTAAATTGTAAATGGTACAATAAGAAATTGCATATCAATTAGGTGTTTTGATACGAGATCACCTCGTCTACAAGAAGCTATCATGCTTCCATTCCATGAGCAGGAGCCCAGTTGTGTTTGACATGAACCAGCTGCAGAGAGAAGATGCCACTGCTTTAAAAAATGCTTTCTTTAAATCTGAGATTCTGTTTTCACTCAGTGTGAGAAGAATGAGTCGCTTTGTTAACCAAAGCACTTCAATAGCAAAACAAAGGGTTTTTTCTTATCTCCTTGCTGCTCTGTGTTTTCTTTTGTAGTTGGTCTGTACACCGCCTGGCCACATTAAATAGTCCCACCTGTATAATTGTATGTATTTCAATACAACACTTCCGCCTTAACATCTGTGTTTATGAAGCTCAGGATGTTTCCATTTTTGGTGAAATTGTCAAATATATAAATTCAATTATGTTTATTATGGAGGTCATAGCTGAAAGGTATCATGTATGTAACTGTGGAGGATAAAAACACAGAGACATTAATGTGGCCAGGCAGTGTATATTCAATTAAAATTGAAATGAATACACTACCTGATCCTAATCATCACATATAATCAAGCAATTAGAATGCAAGCTTAGTCTAACACCCATCTATCTTGGCTGTTACTTTCAAACGACTACGTCACCTCGTCTCTAATGCACAAGATACACCTCATTCAATGCAGGTATATATTAATATGGTGCTCTCCTAGGTCTGATTATATCAGAAGCTTTGTCATGAAAGAAAAAGAGATTTGTATTGAGAAGCACAGGGTTACCACCTGGATAAAATAAACATGGACACTGCTCTGCTTTCCTAAACAAGAACAAACGAGCCAGGAACAGATGGTGCCTCAAACTGGGGTGAAGCAAACTGTTCTTAAGTGCTCTTGTCATAATAACACCGAGCTGAAGGGTTGTGGTGAGGGACAAAAACATTAAACAAGCAGGGGAGCGAGCACATCACATGAAAGACGTGCGGTCAGGTCTTTTCTGTGATGATACTAAATCAACTGTGCCTACCTTTCTGTACTTGTCAAATTCACTGAAGATCTCGGAGTCATCATCCAGGCTGTCTCCTGAGCTCTCCAGCAACAGTCCCACCCCGTCGTCCAGGATCTCCTCTATAACAAGCAACAGTCATGTATGAGCTTCGTGAAACACCATTTCTTAGTTTAAATCGGATGAATGTATTGTTCACAAGCACTAGAAGGTACATAAGAAATAATGTCAGTGCCTGAAGATTTAAGGCCTTTATCAAAGACATGCTGATTTTATCAAAATGATTTACAACGTGGGGCAGCAACACATGGCTGAGAGCCTCCTAGCTTCCCTAATTAGGACCCAGTAGATTCACCTCATTTGCATAAATGAAGCTGGTGTCATTAAGGACTCTGGTGACAAGTCTGTTCATAATAAAAGAAGAAGCAAAGTCTGAGATTTGTATGCATTTGCTTTTCTAACCCATTTTAATAACCACTGGTATAAAGCAGGGGTTTTCAACTGGTGGTCTGCGGCCCTGATCGTGCATTCGATAATGAAGTTTCAAGACATTTCCAGGTATTAATTAGCATTTGTGAATCACATTCATGCAAATATCTACTATAGTTTATAAAAGCCAAATGCGACTTTTAGGGTTAAAAGAGCACCCAGTCTATCCCCCCCCCACAGCAGTGGTCCTCATGTTAGTGGTCTATAGTTAGGGGGTCATCATTAGTTTTAAGTCCCTGGTATAATGTGAGTACAGACCAGCATGGTTGGTAAACTTGACCATACTATGAGCAGGTGATGGCTTTAATACACTGGACATGCTTTGTAGGAATTTGAGTTTTTATGTTAAACTTTTCTACTACTCAGACACCGCCTGACCACACTCCTCACACTGGACATACACGTCCATACATCAGATGACTAAGCAAATGCCATAATAGAATTTAAATGACTCCTTCAGGTGTGTGATCTCCATGCCGACCCAACAGCCATCCTCCTCCAATACACAAGTAGCAACCTTCCCTTATACTGCTGATCTGCCTGCTGCTTGAATTAAAAATAACTTTATCCAAAATTCTTTGATACCTCACATAAAGGTAATAATTCCTTCTTAGTAGGTCACAAAGAGGAACCTTTGTTATTACTCCTGACTAAAACAAACTCACTGGATGAATAGTTAAACTGGTGTGCAATAATTTAGATTAAAAGCCCTCAGATTCATAATTAAGCTGATTTCCTACATCACCTTGACTCTGGGAAAAGATGTCAGTGTAGAGATCTTCCTCTGCATCTGAGCGGCGTGGCGGCAAGAAGCAGAGCTGACGGCGGTCCACAGAAGGCAGGGTGTTGACCGTCAAAGCCAGTGATGCTTGAGAGAATGCCACCTTCATGTCAGAGAAGTTCAGACTGTGAGAGTCTTTTCCGTTGAGCTGAAGTATTTCATCCCCTGCATTTAGACCTACATAGTGAGAACACCATCAGCGCTGATTCACTTTACTGCCCGTCACACATCTTAAACATTTTTGACTTCCTCTAATGAGATGGTAACAACAATCTCTCAATTTTAGTGTTAACTGACCATTAAATTCTTAATTAAGATGTTGAAATGAAAACCAACTAACAACACAACTTTGTTAATCACCATTTTGTCGCAGAGCCATTTTTTTCCCTTTGTCTTTCCACAAGCATTTCTCTGTGCAGGTATCTCACTGTTTGCTGTGAACCATCGCTGCATGTGCTCTACCTGTCATATGACAACTCCAGCAGGACACTTTGAAATCACTCAGGGGTGCCACCGTGAAGCATCTGTGGTGAGGTGTCGTGTTCAGCTTCGTTCTTCACTAAGGCCAGTGAGAGGCAGTGTGGTTATGATTATAGTAATCAGTGCCCTTGAGAACTGCTGTGTTCTCCGAAACCTTCCCTGTCTATCGAATAAGCATGCACTAATGCATCTCTAAAAGAGAAGCAGTAAAGTTGTCTATTGACCTTTGATAGGGAAAATGCTCCATTTTTGACAACATGTAAAAGAATGGAAAAGTGGCTGATGCACCCCAGATTCTTTTCATTTTTATCTCATCAGCTGAGCTGTAGGGACACAGAGTGAACGACTCTGAAGTGAGTTCATTGGTTTGAAATAATGGGTAATGAACCTTTGGCAAAGGCCAATCCGCCTGCCTTCACATCAGTGATGTAGAGCTGCTGTACTCCGTCCTCCTCCACCACTGAAATGGAGAAACCTGGAGGAGGAGAAGAACAGACAGATCAGCAAGAAGAGGAGGAGGGAGAGAAGAGGGGCTCATAGAAAACACAGTACAAACAGGTCTGAAATAAACGTATTACACCTAGAACAACCACATCCCATATGAAATGACTGACTTCATTATAGCATTTAAACTTAAAACAACCTCATTATCATCAGTCTAGGATCATTTAAATGGGTCCTACCGTAGCCAATCATGCAGGATTCATCTCTGTCAAACTGGACTACTTTTGTTATTTTGGAGCAGAGCTCAATTTCTTTGTAAAGCTGTGAAGAACAAAAAGGAAGTCATTACATAAATCATGAAATAAAGTCCTACTATATTCATATTCTGGTGGGTGGATTATTGACAGCATGGAAAGAGAGTGTTAATTTTCTGTATTCTTAGACCCAGCAGCTCTAGCAGAGATTCTTAATGCTGGAATGGTCTATGATGTGTCAAGATTACGTGATGTAAATACAGAAGTCACTAGAGATATTTTTATTACGAGTCGCCATGAATAAATTGATGCTTTGGTGCAAGGGTCCTTTCCAGACAGGCAGTTCTCCAAGAAAACATGCAATCCAAAGGAAAAAAATAAAATGCAAAACCTATGAATAATTCACAGCGTAGCTGCACTTGCACTCTGTAGTGTTCTGCTTATTGTGATTCCTCACACATTCCAGTCTGATCACTACCATTTGTTTAAACCTGTTAATTGATCTTAGTGAGCTTGAAAAATCAGACGCACAAGACCACGTTCAAGCAGATGGTTACGTACCAAGTCGCACATGTCCTCCTCTGGTTTGGGAATGTAGAGTTGCACTTGGTTTTCAATAAGGAATCGGAGTCGCAAGTAGTGCTTGGTGGGATCGAGCTGGTGAGCCTGCAGGATAAGGGCAAAAAGAGGATTTTTACCCAGCATGATAACAATGAGAGATTTGAATCTTTTACAACAAAGTCAGACTTTTTTTCATCTGTCTGACTCTACAAAGCTGCCACTGTCTAGTTAAATGATGTCATAAGAGGCCAGACAGTAGCTTTAAATTTCAAAAGTCTCATGCATATGTCTTTAGGTGCATATGGCTTTATGCCTTTGCCATGCAAACATCATCGGAGTTAAACGTGAACCAGGTCTCGAGGTTGGACGCCGTTACCTTGCAGATGGTTTCCAGAACACACAGTGCCGACTCCCCTGGCTGGATTATGGTTAGCACCGGCTGGTCGTTTGGCAGACACACCCAGGAAGGGGTGAGGTGGTCAGGGACCCAGATGTCACTCTCTGTGCTGGGTCTTGGAAGGCTCTTCACTGTTCCTTCCTCACTTTTCTTCAAAAACATTAAAAGGTTTATTCAGTCAGATTAAATTCACTATGTTTTGTTGCAAAGTTTGATGATGATAAAAAAAAAATAATTGTTGCAAAGTTTGATGATGAAAAAAAAAAAAAATAATAATAATAATAATAATTTCGCCAAATTCTGGTTCATCCCATCTAAATGGCTACTGTTAATACACCTGCAGAGCCATTCCAATACACTTCCAAGGACTATAGTACGCTACTGTACAGGAGCTTAAAAGGAATTATTTTACAACAAAAAATACAACTTCCAGTGCCCGAGTAACTGTTCTAGCCTCTGGGCTGCAGCTGTAACAGCTTTAACTCTGGCCCACACTGTCAACTTGGGGAAACAAGAAACGAGCGATTCCTCCTTACTGTGTGTTCCTTAGCAGGATCAGCATATATGCCACCCACAGACTTTTTCAATGGCTTTTCACCATCAGCAAAGACCTGCAGAGACAAAATTGTCAAGGGGTCATAATTACTCAAGCGGAAACGTGGATGATAAATCCTTGAGGAAAAGGCAGTAAAGCCTTAGTGTGGTTAAAACAGTTTGATTAAACTGTTCTGAAACTTAAAAATGACCTGGTTGATAGTGGGATGGGCTTTTGTCTTTTTCTTTGAGGTAGTGTCCAGACCCCAGAGGGAGGAGAACCTGCTCTTGCGCTTGCTGCAGGAACGAGACATGGCCTGTGTTCGCCGCCTCACTCCAGTGTCTGTGCGAGCTGCCACCTGCAAAAACATAACAGCTCAGTCAGACACACCAAATGGGACATAAACAATCTGTCTGACCTCAAGTCACATCACATTTAGCAAAAATACGGCAACCTTTAATGGGTTTATAAACGCATTACAGCATAAGAACCCAACATGGGTTTAAAGTGGCTATAAAACTGAAAAGCCAAAGAAACACCCCCTTGAAGGGACTCGAGAACAAGACAGAGATTAAATTATTGGCTGCTGCTATAAATATGAAGAACTTCTTACCTGACTGGTTAAACAAAATGAAGAAAGGGGGGTCACGTGCCTTACTGTGATAAATGCTTAACATACAGATTAGCTGCCATCTGTGAAGCAGCAAGAGTAAAATGTCTTGGAAAAATAAACTAACCTAGCTAACCTCAACCTAGGCACTCATTTAGTCTTTTTGTTCTCTGCCCTTTTTGGACATAATGCTGCTACAGGTGTTCACTGAAGTGGAGATAAGCAAATCAGAGCAGAACGAGTTAAGAGGAGAGCTGTTAGAAAGTGTCTCTTTTGGTCGGCGTCCCACCCTGCGATCTCACAGCTCAAACACCCACTTGCTCTGCAGCACCTGCTCTCCGTGCTGGGCATTGGAAGCGGCTTTCACAGTTCCTTCCTCACTATTCTTCAGAAACATTAAAAAAGGTGAAGAGAAAAAAGTACCACAGTAGCCACCAATACATCTCTGGAAAAAAAAAGACACCAATGTATATTTTGGGGAGATGGTATTTTTCTCTGCTAACAACCTGAGGAAGCTCTAAATATAAGGGCAACAAGTGTTTAGGGACATACAGGTCACAGGGTTCATCCTTCCAACAGCTGCAGTTTATGTTGCTACAGTATACTTGAGCTTAGACGTTGGTGCCTCAAATACTCACTGATTTAAAAATCACACTTATGAAGCCTCCAGTTAAATGCATAAAAATGTAAATATATACTAACATATGATGTTATGTAAAAGTGCATCATGACGATACTTGATAAATGCAGATTAAAAATAGGGTATTTAATAAACATGACGAAACAACATGGGGATCTTTACCAGTGCATGAAAGGAGGAGACGGAGAATATACCCAGCCGGCCCATCGCCAGCTTAGTGGGGCGAGAGGCAAAGGCCAGTAGGCGTTTGGGGTTGGGTAGCTCTCCGCCCTGGAGGCTGGCCAGGTAGCACCTGAAGCGGAATAGATCCATGTGAAACTGCTCCAGGTTCTGCTCCCACAGGAAGATCTGTGAGGGACACAATAACACATCCAGTTAATTGTTCATCATTGTCAACTTTAGACCAAGATCAAGATCATCTCCTCCTCTCGCCCAGAAGCTCTTTTATGACTTTGCTCAAGGTTTTGCCAATCTGTGCTTTCGGTGCCTAATGGTTTGGCGTTTACTAGGGCAGTAGAGCAGGATATTGTAATTATTTACTGGGCCATCCCCTCCCAGTCGCAGTCCTACACTGGTGTATTGAAGAGGCGTCCAGCGCCAGGGCAGAGGGCTCTATATCGGTGCCAAGTTGCCCAGAGACAAGCAAGAAACAATACTGCGCATTCCACTGGCAGATAGAGGCTGGGAGCATTCAGCTTTCTAAGGAGCAGGCCTACATCCATTCAGCTCTGCACAATGTGAAACCTGACACAGCTCCAACAGAGCACCACCAAAGTGACTAAACAAAAGGCATTTGAGCTCCCTTCTTTGTAAACAGACCTATTAAAGACAATATGAGCTTTGAAATTAATTGACAGAATGGCAGGCTATCAGCTGGTGCCAACAACACATAAAAAAAAAACCAATCCAGTGGCCAAAAGATGTGTCAGCAGCCTCTAGCGGATGATACTGTGAGATGTTACTTAATCTCCTCATGCCCGTCTCTGCTTCTTTGGCAATCTCCTGTTTCTTTTTATTAGAAAAACCGATACTGAAATGCCTACTTGCATGTGATACTTGTAATTAAGATAACGATATATAATTTGAATATGTTCTGAAAATAATACTTGTCATTTTCACAAACTGTGGACCAGTATGAGAAACATCTTCAGTACTACAGCAGTTTTCTTCTTAAATGAGGCGAACATTCATCCAGAAACAGATCTGCTGCTCTTTGAGGTTTAACAGTTGTATCAACAGTCACAAAAATCAATAGTGTGAGTCTGATGGCAACAGTTCTAGTGTTGATGTAATAAGCCTAGAATGTGAGTTTCTCTGCTACTTCACTAAAGCAGTGACCGACATAGCTTGTCCACGGCCTTTTATTAATACCACCTGGTTTGTTGTTGCTTATTAGATTAGAAAGGTTTTAAATAGTTGATACAACACAAGCGTTACTTTCATCCAATAAATGTATAAAACTTGGAAAAAAAAAAAAAAAAAGATTTTCTAAGTTTGCTTGCTATTCCCCGACTTCCACAGAGAACCAGGATAATACTAAAAATCTCTACTCTGGCTTGAGAGAGTAGAATGAAACCTACCTGATCCAGGATAGTCTTCCTCTTCTTGGAGTCACTGACAGCAGACAGTTGCATGTCTCCCATCTTCTTCATCTTCTCATCCATGTCTATCTTCTGCTCCAGCTTCTTGATCTCAGCGCGGAGCAGTCGCACCGTGTCTTCTCTGTGGTGCTGGCGGGCAATGGCGGCGGCACATGCTGAGTGGATGGCTGTGATCCAGTTCTCCAGCTCTGTCTGGCTGCAGGTCTGCGTAGGGACAGACAGCGAAAGGTCAAGAGGTTAAACAGCACACCAGCTCCTCAGTATTCAAAATACAGTTTTGCTTATGCTGTGTTGATTCACTGCTAATTATATGTAATAGCAAATGAGAATGAGGGCATGTAAAGACAGTTCATACAGGGCGAGATAATGTTTACCCACAAGAGAATTTGCACTTACTCACAGACCATATGGCATTCAAAGCCTGTTTTACCTGGAACAGAAAAGCATCTCCCAGGGAGTTGCTGAGACAGAACACAAAGTCCTTTTTGGGGTGCTCAGGTACAGCCTGGACAATACTGTTCTCTACCCAGATGGCATGCTTGGGGATACTGTTGTTGTCAATCCCTGAACGGCCATCAGTCTCATAGAAGAACAGAGTGCAACCTGGAAAACCAAAACAAACTATTTACATTTGCAGGTCCCAGTCTCTAGGAAAGCATAACGATGATGCTGACTTGTTCTTTAAAAGCCAGATTTGCTCATGCAATTTAATTCTGCACTCCAGTGGCCAACATTAAGAAGTGCAGCATGTCTGCTTATCAGCAAGGGAGGCATCATAATCATTAGAATACTGACTTGCTTCCTTGCCCACTCATGTGGCATAACAACTGATGTGTTTTGTGTCATGCTTGACTTGTATTGAGCCTATTTGAAGGTTAGATTGTAAGTATTTCTGCATAAGCTACTGTATGTCAGCAAAAAACTAATCATCAGAAGTGTGAGTGATTGGGGTGTATGGACTCAGATTCTGAGAATAAATGTTATGGACACACTGAGGACATAAACCTTTCAGGGACACCCAGTAGCTCTTCCACTTGCGCCTCGTGGCTGACTCCACTTTCTTGCTCTTCTTATGTACGAGGAAGTTCTTGACGGCAAGCCTGCCAGCTTTGCGCACCATCCCCTGGGCGATGCTGAGTAATGGGTCAGACTGGTAGGCGGAGCTCATACTGCTCTGCTCATCACTCAGGGCAGACCCCGCCTCCTCCAAGCTCTCTGTCTGGCAGGAGCTCATCTCCAGTTCCTGGCGAAAGTTCTCATACACACCCTGTACACACTCGTTGGCCCCACCGCCACTGCTGCTGCCACTGTCGCTGCCGGCGAACATGCCTCTGCCATGCGCCAAGCACACGGAAAAGGAGGCCGACATGGTCTTATAGCGTCGGGACTGGTGCTCTGCTTCCACTGTCACCCCATCGATTCCACTGTCCTCGTACTCACTGCCCTCCCCAGCTGTGACATCCTACGTCGCAACAGAAGCACAAGACAGGTGAGATAGTGTGGCATCCACAGTTTCTTCCTCACTGGCAAGGCAGACATTTAACAACTCCTACCCTGACTGACAACTAGCCTGTCTCTGTAGATAGAGGACAGAGCCACTGTAAACATGTTGCAAATCTGTGGCTACAGAGGCCCGAGTCTGTAGGGTCCTTAATCCTGAGGTTCTGCTCAAATTTATTTACTCACAACAAAGCATCTACTGACTACAGTTTGCCTTTCCTGTGGCACCAGAGTCTCTGCCCCCTCCTACCCACGTGGCCAAATGCTTAGGGGAGATGAAGGGAGCTGCACCGAGCTTGGTATCTCCATCTGGTCACATGTGACAATCATGCGCTCCAGACCTCCATTCACACGGCTGGTGATGCCCCGTAGTGACAAGGCCACCATACACGTTTTGCTGCTGCACTCTTCCACAGGGCTCTCACCTCATTATCATAACAAAAGATGGAAGTATTTTAAAACAGGGAGTGTCTTTAAACTCTGCTCCCCCATCCCACCACTGCAGTCTCCTCTCCCAGGAAAAGCAACCGTTTCATCAGGAAACAACACACCGTTCCCCTGACACAAGCTTTCTTTTTACACCTCATCAGTTTCAGCAGCTTATTATCTGTGAGGTGAATGCAGCAGAGAAAACGCTCAGACAAAATGGGGGGAAAGAAATGAATGAGGGGAGCCGCCTTATTAGTAATGCCACCAGACTACATTAAGATTCTGTACAGATTTTCATGGTCTGTCCAGGGAGCACAAAAGACACAGCTTCAACAGTTCAGGACCCTGACATATTACTAACTTAAGAGAGCATCATACAGACATATAGCGTTTACATAATGCTGGCTGGGAAAATTAGTTGTTGTTTTCTATGAATTGTGTCGCATTTAAAATTCAATTTGAATTAATGGTGTAAAAGGTCAACACAAAGTAAACTTGCTCTATATTTTACCTGTATTGTCTGCGCCCTCCTGCCCTGCATACTGGCACATATGGTAGCTTGGTGGCTGTTCAGGCCTTCTGACAGGCAGTGGGAACGCCGGCAGGGAAGGGTGTATGCACTGTAGGTGCTCCCATCCTCCTCTGACAGGGAGAGCATCTTATCCTCGCCCTCCCTGATAGCCCTGTTGGCCTCGTGCCACTTGGCATAGCGGCCGCTGGGTTGCCTGCGGGCAAGGCTCTTCTGGCTGTACAGCTCATCCAAGGAGTTCGCCCTGTCAGCGGAGACTGTCGGGCTACGCCGCAGGTGGCCTTTGAAGTCACTGAAGTCTCTTTCCTTGGCTGTGCCTCTTATCTCCTCTGTGCTGGTCAGGTGCTCTTGGCTGAGGTCGGACAGAGAGAACTCCAGGCTGTCATCTCGCCACATGTCTGCAGATTTGGACCGCTTTTTCTTGAAGCTGACAGTCTCCTTGGAGCCATCCTGTGTTTTCTGGAGATACGTGACCTCGCCCGTGTACTCATCTTCATCCTGCAGCTCCTCTGCAGTGGGGCCAGGTAGGGTTATGCACATTGTAGTCATGTGCACTGACGGATTGGCCAAGTCACTGTGAAAAGACACAGGCCGTAGATTCATGGCCACACGGTCCACCCAAATGGGGCTTCCAAAATCTGGGAGGATATTAGTCTCATTGAAGGGTTCCAGGCCACTGTCAGTCAGGGACTGAGGGATGCTGGGGGTGCTACTTGAGCGGGTGCTCGTCTCCGAGTTCCTGTGCTCTATTTTCCCTGATGAAGCATGTCGCGAGCGTCTGGACTGCTTGTTGGAAATGCGAAGAGACCGAGACATGTGCTTACGTGACAAATAGCCATGTTCGTTACTGTAGAGGGCATGGTCCCCATTCTGGCTCTCAACATTTCCCATGGTTCATAGTCTGAATGGAAGAGAAGAAAACAGTTGGAAAATTAATTATTTAATTCCAATTATTTATACTGATGATGTTGATGTTTAATATTGGCTTGTATTATAGAAATCTGCAGCTGAAAGGGAAATTTACAGTAAATACTATGATTTGTGTCCTTTGTGGCCTCTCTTTTGCTGTTGTGTGAAAAAAGAAATCATCTGTCAAAAGTAATTTTGCATGAGGATTTATGAAACAACCTCTCTGATGTGGAGGATCACATTGTCTATGAAGGCACACATCATAAACCTCCATTTCACATCAAGTTGCTTCATTCTAAGTTGTACATCAAGTCCTTAGCAAAGTCCCTGTAGGAAATTCTAAATGACATGAAGTTGTCAAAACACACACACACACACACACACACAATGTGATATGAGCACAATGGCCCCAGCTATGCCTGCTAAGTAGAGCTAGCTATTTGGCACGTGGGTCATCACATCTCCAAAAACATCAGAGAAATAAGGAACGCACAACAGTAAAGTAAAGATAACTAAACTCTGGTTTATTGTGCTGCTTCATTTCTCACAGGACGGTACCCCCGTATTGTACATCTTATCACGTAGCCCATAGAGTTATTTTCTCACCTGAAAAACAATAAAAACGTAATAAAATGGCATAATAACAGTGAGCACAATGCCCCCAGCTATGCCTGCTAAGTAGAGCTAGCTATTTGTCATGTCGGTCATCACATCTCCAAAAACATCAGAGCCAATTTCTAATTGGCATTATTTTGATTGACTGACCACATATTCAAAAACTCAGTTATTTCCTCACCTGAAAAACAATTAAAACGTAATAAAATTGCATAATAACAGTCCTAGGTTGACAATTATGACATCTTTGAACCTGAACCTGCCACAGTGGGCCAGTGACTTCATGGAAGTTTCATGCGGTGTCGCTGTGACAACCTGCTACACTGCAGGGACTATCTGCAGTGGAAAGCAAAGCACTTAGTTCCAAAAGCGAGTCGAGTCGAGTCAAGTCAGTACCAGGGTTATTTCCTCACCTGAAAAACAATTAAAACGTAATAAAATTGCATAATAACAGTCCTAGGTTGACAATTATGACATCTTTGAACCTGAACCTGCCACAGTGGGCCAGTGACTTCATGGAAGTTTCATGCGGTGTCGCTGTGACAACCTGCTACACTGCAGGGACTATCTGCAGTGGAAAACAAAGCACTTAGTTCCAAAAGCAAGTCGAGTCGAGTCAAGTCAGTACCAGGTGGTGGAAAAGGGGCTTAAGAGCACAGCCACAGCCTGAGTGAACATGAGTTATTCAGAGCTGAAGTGAACCCTCCATATAGTGCTGTCATTGTCATCTGTTCTCAGAATCAGGAGTTTTACCACAGTGCACATTTAAACCCCATCTACCTGCCTCTAGGGTGGACAGCCTGCTCCAAACAAGGTCCTGTTCTATGCCTGGGACCATCAACACATGGGACAGAACAGTAACTAACCACGCTGACTGTTCAACCTCCTAATGTGTGTCCTTCTTTTAGAACAGACCCTTTGGGGTGCACCGTTTGTCTGCGTGTCACTGACACAGATGAGTGGGAGCATAACCCTCTGCTGCTACAGGCACGGCGAAGGGCGTTACATAAACTGGAGCCAACCCCGTTTTTCTACCTCATGTTGCTCTTTCCCCTCTTCATTCTGCTCACTCATCGCTCCTCACTGGTACTGCAGTGAACAATGCTTGATGTTGAAATCATTGATACGTCATATAAAGCTGCTGCTCATTGCCTCTTTCATTCAATCCTGTTTGGCAAAGGAAAACACCACAGAAGAAAATCAGGAGGGACAAAACTATGAAATGCCACTGAACTCATTAAAAGAAATGAGATCCATTGAGACACCCAAACATGCTTTCAAAATGCTAGCAGAGACTTTACACCAAGGGCTACTTTGAGGTGTGTTTTTGTCCTTTACTATGTGATCCCACTGCCCCTTTTTCATATGTGCAAGATGAAAATTTAATGGCAATGTAATGTCATTCCTTGAGAGAAACAAAATGTCCATTGTGGTTTAGCCCTGACTGCATCAGAATGTGACTCTGTGAAGCCTTCAGAGCCTCCATAAAACTGTAAACACAATAAAATAAAGCCCCACAAGAACCTCTCTTACAGGCTGAACAGCCAGTATTTATGGATGACATTTCTGCCATTTATAGGGCTTTAACCTGTTGCTGAGCTGAATTTGCTAATGTTCTCAGTGGCTTCAATGTTAATATGATGTGAAAGATGCTAGAAGTTAATTAAGGCTGTTTCAAGCAGACACGAGGGGCTTGAGGAGCAGAAGATGTCGATTCCTCAGTCAGTGCATTTAAGGCAACCCATCGAGTGGTGACCTTGGATTTTATACCACAGCCTCATTTATTCAGGCATGAAATGTGTGAGCCAGCTGGTCATCCAATATGCTGTAATGAACACAAATATTTTAACACTGTTGGAGTGCAACAAAGGCCCCTGCTGTACACATTTACCTCTCATATGAGCAGTCCTGTTTAAATAAAAAAAAAAAAAAAAAAATTCTGCATCAAAGCCTTACAGTGTTTCCATCTGTCTCTTTCTATTGCAAATAAACAACTGTTCAGAAAAAAAACTTACATGAGCGCAAAGTCAAATGAGTGGTCCAACACAGGCCACCAACATATAATAAACAGGGACAACAAATCTAGGCAACGTTTTAACAATACAGCTCCTTGTTCAATCTGGAGTAAGAACATTCTTTTTAATTTATAAAAAGGAGGGCACAGGGGTCTTTACAGTAAAATATTTCTTGCAGTAGAATGCACAATGAATCATCAAGCTTCTTTTGCCTATATCAAAAAGATGGCAGAACACAGAGTGGCTCTGAACATGATTTCCACAAAAGCTTTAAGAAATAAGAACAGACAGTCCAGAGGCTGACCCAGAGAATAAAAAAAACATGGCTTTCCAATTTTGAAATACAGTGATATTACAGTTTAATGCATTTGAAAACGAGGTTAAAATGGCTACAAGTCCCCAACATTATGTCCTCTCCAGCTGGAATTCTGCTGCTTCACAGAATCCATCATCAGCTCTTTATTAATACATGAGGAAGAAATGTCAGTGTTGGAAAAGATGTTCTGGACCAAATACCAGGCAAACCCACATTAGGAGCATAGTGTCCCAGTCTCTGTCCTGTATCATTGCTATCATGCTTCATGCACAAATAAATGGAAGCCACCAGTTAGACTGGAAAATGCTGCCCATATTTTGGCGGTGTGAGGATACAAAGTGGGTCACCTCTCATTTTCAAAGTGCCGCACAAGAGCACAAGACAGCAGGACTCAGAGGATTCATCTGTTACAAGCCCTTAATGAAATACATAACCACGGGAGATTCCATCCCCCCACAGATCAGACAGAAGAATGGGTTTATTGTGACTGAAGACTTGAGGGGAAAGCACAGAAACTCACCACAGCTAACACCACTTGGGGAAGTTGTGAACAGTCACTACATGAAAAGCATTAAGCATCTGATGGGCATAAAATCCAGCTTTCAGGGTAAGAGAATTAAGGTGCAGCACTTTCATTTTGTAGTCACCACTCAGAGCTACACAAAAATGCTAAATGTCCAAAAACATTATTTTATATTATACAATGTTTTTTCCTCTTCTTTTACCAGCATCTGTTTCATTCCCATAAGAGAAATGCTGATTTTTTTTATTCAGAGTTCTGCAGATATGCTTCCACCCAAGCCTATAAAAAGTATTAGTTACTGTTGGAGACGGGCTAATACGTCTTCAGTTCTCATGATATTACAAATTAGCACAAAGAAAAAATGTTGATTAAAGCTGAAAAGGTTTTCACTTTGGTTCTGTCCCCGGTAGACAGTCTGGATTTATGGTGGGAAAGACTTCACTAGAACTTAACACCAGTGTGACAGTATTAAATGTCACATTCTGATTTATGCCAAAACCACTTGATTTCACAACAGTGCAGATGATATTTTAAACCGTTTTGGAGGGGTGGCGATCACATTTCCATTCTATGCACTGTGGGATTTTGCCATCCCTGAAATATGTGACAGGTAAATTTAAGGTTGTTTTGTTAGTAACGGCACATATTTGACAAATACTTGTGCGTGTTGGAACAGGAACAAGGAAAAAGTGCCCTCACCCCCACCTGCTCTTCTTTAGATCCCTAAGGACAAAACTGTCATGTCGCTTTCATCATTTGAGGAAAGGAAACTTTTTGCTCAAGGTTATGTGTGCTCAAGGTGGGAAACACCTGGTCACACATTCCTACACTCATGAACTTCATTTAAAAAAACAGGACAGTACATTAATACACCAGACAAATCTGAAGATAGCTACACAACCCACTGAAATAACACATAATGTGACAGAAGGAACAATTAAATCGAGCTTCATCTAGATTTCGACTGTTGCTCTCGTTCTTGCAAACACAGTCCTCTCATTTAACCCAGCTACAAACATGCACTGGGTGAACTAGTTACAAAACCCTGTCATCTGAACACTCCAGCCTCTACAGATAACACAGGTAGTTACCACTGACAGAATGCTCTCAAGACAGCCCACATTTCCCCACCGATATGCTTCTGTTTCAATAGAAGCACCAAACAGCAATGTTCTCATGACACACATTTGTGCTCCCCGAGTGTGATCAGCTGTGTTTAAAACTCTGCCAGGCCTGAGGGACATTTAACATCAGCAATGCATGTGTCCCCTTTTCAGACAGTGGTGAGGAATAGTCACACCACAGTAGAACTTATCTGGGATGTTGCCGAACTAAACTAGTACCTCTCCCAGTCTTCACTTAATGGCTAAAATGAAAACCAACACTTTTTTTTCCTGGCTCTTAAGTAGACTTTACCCAGCTCCCTAGTACAAAGTCGTTAAAACCGGAAAAACACAAATATCGGATAGTGAAGAAAAACAAATAGTCATTTACAATGAAGACGCCAACAAAAATCTCTAACT